TACTATATATATCTAAAGTCATTTTCTGCACCATTACCTGCTTCACTAGTAGGTAATTTTGTATTGCCTCATTCATGGGGATTGCCCATAATTTCATAGGCCATACTAAGAAACACAACATTGTCTGGATTCTCTTTCTAACAAGAAATTTTCAAATCATTTCATAGATAATGTATATGTATTGTTGATTCTGCTATATAACAGTAAAAAATAACATTTAATTCTTTTTAATAACACTTAAAATATTTTAAATCTATATTTACTGACCTGAACTTACAAACTTAGAATAAGTACTTTACATCAAATGGTTACTTTTTGAATAGTATGCCATTTACAATGGAAGATAAATTGGTTAGTTATATAATTGTGCAATATGTCATCCAAAACCCATTTTCCCAATTCAATTTGATTATATAAACTAATATCTGCATTGTATGACATCTAAAATTACACATACTCCAAAAGCTATCCAAACATTTTCCTCATTTTATAAATATCTCTTAAACTATTAATTGATTGAATTGTACTCTTTACTGGAGTTACTTTTAAATGCCACCTGTAAAATATGAAAGATACACTTTAAATTACTGGGATTGAAACAACTGACCAGGTATTTGAAAACAAGAATGGTGTTAATTAAATAAATAGCCTACTCCTATATGATTGCAACTGAGAATTATCCATTAACAGTAATTTATCCACAGTTGTGACAATTTTTCCACATCAAGTGCATGTGTTCCAAACTTTAAAATTACTAAGTCATGATGAAGCTTGAGAAGGGCTTGTTCTAGCTCTCTGAAGGCATTTAAAACCTGAAATTTTCCAACACTTAATAGCAAGAGAACATTCTAAATCTTTATTGTTTTATGAATCACAGAAATATTAAAACAGTAAACAATGGATTTCAACAGTACAATTGTACATATTATAGTTAAATTCAGTTTCTAGTCATATCAGTTTCGATCATAGAGTAACTTTGAAGGAATGAAGTATTCTAAATATTCTATTAAAATATATTGAATACTTTATGCCATCTGTAATATAGTGACTTCAGATACTTCATTTTCAAGCAAACACAGAATATCCTATCTAAAATGGTATATGATTTTCTTGACAGTCTTAAGATGGAAATTTGGCAAGGATATCATTGTAACATAGGCAACGTTATCAATATTCTGGAGGGAAATTCTCTACTTATATCTGTGAATAGTTCCTGATCAAGCACTATTTCTTTTCATATTCTTCCTTATATTTTTCTCCAAGCCTACCTTAATGAGGCCCTAAGATATATCCTGCATTCAAATATGAGCTGAATCACCATTAAAGAAGTATTACATGAACCATTTGAACTAGATTTTTGTGTTTTACTCAGGATGACAAAGAAATAAATGTGCATCAAATATCAATAGACAACCCTAGACATAAAGATTATTCTCATTTACAACTCTCAGACTTATTTCATGGCCTCACAGAACTGTTATTCATGTGCTAAATTATCTCTGTACTGCTGTGTCTAACTTTGTTCCATTAGGTCCTACTCAGAAAAGGATATCAGAATATAAATGGAGAGGTAATTACGTATGACACATGTACACACACAGAGTGTGTGTATATATATATATATATTACATATGCATTTCATACAGATCTATCATATACATATACACAAATATACTCATTGTACATTACATGTATGTATATGCATATGTTTTCCTAACAAAAGGTGATACAATATAAATTTAAGCAGACTATCCAAGCTTAGTTCACATAAAATAGATGATATGTATTACACACTTCCTATATCCTGATAGGACCAACAAAATTATCTCTTAAATACCCCCTCATACACCTATCGAATGCCTCACTCATTTTCACATGCCACTGAATCATACCATACTAAGATTTAATTTAAAATTCTTAAAATGAAGAACAAGGTAGAAAATAACTACTTTCCCATCATCTAATTCCCCCATCATTTCTAGGATGTGCCTCTAGATCAAGAGGATAGATATTCATCTTAGTTCAGATTTCCCCAGAAAGACACTTTGGATTAGATAAGGATTGGAGCGTAAGTAGTTCATTCGAGAACTGATCCCAGAAAATACCAGTAGGGAGGAAGGGAGAAGGAAACCAATGAATCTTACAACATTAAGGCAGTTACTACTGTAGGCAACTGGAGCTCAGTTCCACTGGACAAAGTATAGGACATGCTTCAGAATTATCCCAACAAAAAAGCTAAGAAGGTAAGCTACTTATCTAATAGCTCCCTATATACTCAGGGGCAGTTCTGACTTGGTCTCCAAGCAGCCCTGGTGTGCTCCTGAAACTGGGGGAGAAAACAAAACAAAACACAAAAAAACTCAAAATGTTTTCACAGAAAATAGCCTACAGAATATGAGCTGAAACGAAATGTACCTGTTGGTACAAGCCAAGACGAGAGAGTACTCCCTCCTCAACTCTGGAGGAACTGAGTTCATGAAGAAAACTGAGTAGAATAAGATGGCTACTTAGACTAAACTGCAAAGAGGAATTTGTGACCATATTAAAGACAAAAAAGATGACTTTACTTATTGCATATTAACTTCGGATTCTTAAAAAAACATGAAAGAATTGCAAACTGCATATCAGAAGTGAAGAAGGAAACTAAAATTTAATGAGCACCTGAAATATGTTAGATGCTGTAAAATTATTCTTAAAAACTCAAATTAAATAGAAAGAAGTTGGGAGCTTCTTGAGGAATTTGAGTCACAAATAACTGAGCCCAAGTGTCATCTTTACACTTACAAGACATATTACATGACAAATATTTAATTTCCCAGAAACTTAATTTCCTAGGCCCTAAAATAATTACCCACATTTCAGGGACTGTATGTGGATTGACTGAGATAGCATAATAGTGTGTGTGTGTGCCTACATATATGACATATATAATAGTTTTATATAGAGAGAGACATAATACACATATACATACATATATAATATATATATAGCATAATTAACATATAGCACTAGCCAGTGCTCAGCACCAACTAAATCCTAGTCTTGTACCTTACAGAAATAAAATATTTAATCTAATAATGACTGAATGACTTGCTCAAAGCCCCTCAGCTAGTGAAGAAGTAAGCCAAGGATTGAAGCTTGGGTCCTTATTAATCCAAAGATCTTGTCTTCAAGACAATAAATGGAACCAAAGCTAAATACTAATTGTTCATGAAGCCACAAAATGTCAAATCTTTAAAAATCGATTAACAAATTTTTAAATGTTTAATACCACATTTAATAGAAAATATCTAATTTTTAAGTTACAGTTGGGCTAGCATAAACTTTCATTATAATATATAGCATAAACAAAATTATAATATATTTTAATGTGCAAAACTTGATTTTTAAACCATCAGTGATTCCCTTAAGTCAACTAATCAAAATTCTTAATCACTAAAATACATCTACAGTGTCATTAGAGAAATGAGGGCAACTGCATGAGCAATAAATATACTGGGAACAGTATCAAAGAGCAGACAGCACACCAAGTACAAGTATGTCCTCTATGCATTTAGCCTATTTCACACTTTCTACAGGAGGAGGATTTCCGTTCTGCGTGAGGATTCAGAGGTCCTGAAGTAACAAATTCAAATAGATTCAATCACTATGAACTCTATGCTGTACTTGATAAGTCATTAACTGGGCTGCTAGAATTTATAAGTGATAATTAGCACTAATTTGCTTAGATATTATTTTCTTTATCTTCAGACAAGCAGAACACTTTATTTCCAAGCATACTGGTAAATTGGTATTTATTCTTTTAATTTTTATCCAATATGTGTTTTTGCCTAAAAAGAGGAGATTGAAATATTATCCTCTATGAAACATCCATATCCCTTTAAATTACTAATATGAGACCAAAGAAGTCCATAAGTGATGCCCAAGATAAAACCCCCTGTGTGCAGAGATAGAAGTTGATACAGGGAGCAGAAATGGTAAGGAAAAGGAGGGTATTTCCCAGGGCTGCATGAGAAAAAAATTTTAAATCTGACCAATAATGGATCTTTTATGTAATTAAGATAGAATAACAATACCAAACTGAACTTCAAGAAAACATTTCAATTAAGTTGAGAGCCTAGTTGGTATATACATATATTATTTTAAAACAAGGATATGTGGTAAGTGGAATGACTATTCCAGAAAATATTAAATTCAATGAAATACAAAATGTTTTTCAAATAATAAGAAAGAGACAGGGGGAGGAATTTCATAAGTTTAAGTAATGCTATAGATAAAACAGCAGCAATATTTTTCTAATATTAAATATTCTAGCTTTAACTTTGTGACATGTCTACTATTTAGGCTAAAACTACATTAATTATGAAAAGATTGGGTCCTGCTTTACAAACACCATTATCAGTAACAGTCTCAGTTACCTGTTCAAAGTGAGTATTTTCCCTTGCAAATATTGCCATTTTCCCTACCTGTTACATATATAAAACAATTGTCTACCTGCAAATCCAAATGTTTAAAAAGCGTCAAATTCCCAGTGGCAGGTGGACGCCTTAGCAAGACAACACTGAGGGAGTAATTATGTAGGTGCAGGAGACTGTAAGTTTCTAACGTGCTTTTTCAATCAACTTGGATAGATTTTCGAATTTGATTAACAACCTGAGGGAGAAAAAAATGAAAATTATTTGGCACTGATACTGCGTGCCATTTGGATGTGCTATACCTCTCATGCCAGCCTTATACACACCCTAGGAAGGCACAGATAGACAAAAGAATAAGCACCAAATAAATTCAGTAAATACATTGCAAGGATAAGGAAGGGAAAAAGAAGAGTTTCTTTTTTTATAGTTATTTCTTTATAGAGTCAAAATGGAGAGACATATCTGAGTCCCTTTACCCCATCCCCCAGTCTCTGGCTCCCTTTTTAGCCTCTCCCGTCCCCTTTTGCTTTCCCTTCTCTGTGTCTTTCAGCTGTTATACGGAAAACACTGCCGCACACCACTCACCTGTCATCGTTTTGCCATCCTTGGTCCCCTAGCAGTAAATCCCGGAACCTGTACCTGGGTGGCAGAGGGGGCACTTCGCTCTCCAAATCAACCATCGTTGCTCAGAGAGTGGGGAACATAAAGCAACAAATGGAGGAGAGGAGGGAGAAAGAAAAAAAAATTGGCAGAGAATGCTGTGGCTGAGAGAAGGGGCAGCTCGGAGCCGGAAGCTGGGACTGAAAGGGGGTCGCTCCCCTCTCCCGAGGGTGTGATGGGGATGATGCAAACCAAGCCCAGGAGCAAAAGTCTGGCTCCAACAAGAACCAACGCTGCCAAGGAACCGCCCCCAGGCTCGGCACCGCCTCTGGTCCCCAGGACTCGGGGGAGGCGCGAATGCAAAAGTTACTTAGCCAGAAAAAGAAAAGAAAAAGAAAAAAACGCGCGGTGCCTAGAGAGGGGAGGTGTGGAAGCGAGCGCAGCGCGGCGGGGAAGCGCCTAGAGAGGCCGGGGGACACCCTGCCCCAAGGGCCGCTCCGGCGGCCTCCCCCCACCCCCCCGCGGGCGCGCGGCCGGCACAGCGCAGGGCGCAGGGCCCCGTGGGGAGCAGTGCGGCGCGGCCGCCGGAGGCCGCGCCCCGAGACGCCCTCGTTGCATGAGCCTGATTAGCGGGTCCCCGGGCGTCAGACCCTTCCTGCAGGAGGGAGACACAGGGCGCCTTCGCTGTGACCTCCTGCAGCTCGGGTAGGCGGGTGGAAAATGTACCTCCTTCCTGGAGAAGAAATCCCGCTTTCAGCCCCAGGAAAGTCCGCTGTTCTTTCCCCTCAGTCTGCAAGAAAGGGAGGTGTTCCCTCATCCCGGAGAGAATGAAGAGCCACTTGAGGTTGCTGAAGAGACACATTTAGATAACGGCTGGAAAGGTTCATTGAAGCACTAGAGGATTATAGACCTCTGTGTCGCCGCTTCCAGCAGCGCTGCGGGTTTCCATAGCATGGCCTTAGCCTTCAGTGTGCTCCTGTTAGTGACCCACAGTCAGAGGAAGAGCCCAGCCCGAGAGTCCAGGGTCAGGTTTTTGGTATCAGTCGCTGCTTCTGTGAACCTTGCCGTCCAAGCCCTTGTTCTGCCTGGGCATACTGCTCTTCCGCGAAGAACCGATTTCATCAGGGTTATGCGCAGATACTGAATCCTCACCATCGGAGGGACACTGGGCCCGAGGGTACAGAGAGGACTTTATCACCGCCCATGCTCTTAGGGATCTCATAGTTTGCTTGGAGGAGCAGCTTATAAATGAAGTGAAACAGTATAAGACACAGTAACCAAACAACACGAGAGATTGAGGAAATAACTGTGAGATCACACAATCCTGGAGGGGTCAAGGAATACACTGCAGTTGAACTAAGCCTTCTATACTCGTTTTGCAACCTTTTTAAGGGAAGGGAAGAGAAAGCAATGAAGCAAGCAGAGAGAATACTATGAGTAGAGGCAAAGCGATTTGAAAAAAATGTGGTTTATTCAGAAGACAGATTAATTTGGTATGGTTAATTTCCAGTGAGGTCACGTAAAGGAGGTTTTATATGGAAAACTGGAACTGCAGGAACAAATCAGCAAAAAGGTAATAGATAAAATAAGATGAATACCTAAACTTGAAGAATCACAGTGGAAATAGAATAGACATACCCTATGTCTCTATCTTCATAACCCTATCCATCCTTAGAGACCCATCTCCCATGACAAATCCGCCATAGATTTCTTGATTCTTCACTTAGTTATGACTTCTTTGAACATTTCATGCTCCTTGCGAGCATTTTGCTTGTAGAAATGATTACATTCTGCCCTGCTGTATGATTACCTATACATTCTCCTTTCATTTTACTCCCCTCCCTGTGGCTTACCTTTCTAACACAGTGCATTCAAGATAGCAAAATCCCAACAAATTTGTGTTGAGTAGCATTAAAAGCTTTTAAACCTAGGAAATTAACATTTTTCACATTTGCTTTAGCTCCAGAGTTATGTATTTGTTTGTTTCTTTGGCATGAGCTTTCATAATCACTTTGACAAATGAGAAAGTTATATCACTTCATTGTTAGTTTGTGGAGAAAATTAAAAAGAATATTGGTTTATGTTTTGGAACTTTTCATCTGCTATTATGATAGCTCTATGAAGTTTACTTGTTTAATGTTTCATGTTAATATTAATATTTTATTTATATTAGTATAGTCTACCTGTATATGTTTGACATAAATCTAAAATATCTACACATCAGTAACAGAAAGAAGGCACTAAAAAAAGAGAAGAAATAACTTTTGAGTGTTAAATTCCTGAGATGCTGAAGATTGCAGAATAAAGCAACATTTTACCTAAAAGAAAGCTGTCTACCCTTATTTTACTGTCTTCTTTGTGATAATCTTAATTATTTGAAAAGAAAAACAATTAAAGAATAAGTAAGAACCTGCTCAGCTAGAGTGTCACAGCCCAGTTATTAAGGATTCAACCAGTTCAAAGTGCCCTATGTGCCAAGCCAAACCAGTTGTAGGCCACTGTATTCAGGATACACTGATTTTCTGTGTGCCATAAATTTGTTGTCCAAAGTGAAGAAAGCTACACTTCTAAATTTAAGAAAATTAAAGGAATAAATACAATATAAGAAATACTATCCTGACATTCTTAAAATATAGTAATATTTGGGCATTGAAACATAAACCTATAATTGGAAAATCCTTTTGTTCTCCTATATATTTCCTTTCTGTAGGCAGACCTTTTATTTTTTTGTTATTAATTTTAACTCTTAGTTCTCTCACTTGTCTTTCTGTATTTTTGTTCTTTTTTTGTCTTGTCATGCCATTTCCTGCTGCTGAAATGTATTTTCCTCTTTCACTCTTTTTATTATAGTTTCCTTTTTTCACTGAGCTTTTTAAGTCTCCTATTTCATAGACACATTTTCTTTCTGTGTGTGAAAGCTTTCATCCTACCATAACAAGAGATTTGATTTTTAGAAACAATTTTGAACTTGATTCTGCACCTGAATAGCTGGTGTTTGTAAGCCCCCTAATCAACATATAGCATTTATCAGAGCAATAGACTAGTTTGGTCTGCAATGACAAAAGAATACTCACCAATAATCTTCTGAATTATGATGCTTATGGAGTAGAGAGTATCAAGAATGAGAATGTTGGAGAAGACTGATTGCCTAGTTTCGCTAGTTTAAAATTTTCTTCTAGAAAACAATCTGAAAATGTCTTCTAATTTCTTCCCTTTTTACAGAAAAAAATTCTTTTTTTAATTCTATTTTCTAGTACATTGATTATACTTAAATATATTCATACCCATTAGTAAAGAATGATTTTACTAACAAAAGACAATTTATTCATAACTGTGAATAATGAACATAGTTGAAATCATAGAATACAAGGCTTTTTTAACCTAAAACTCAAATGTATGTTCAAATTATATTTATTACTTTTTTGACAGAATTTTCAAAAATGTCAATGATTATGTCTACTCAGCCCTGTAAAAGCTACTTGAAAATGAATTTTAAAAGGCAATAATAATTTTCTATATATTAGGCTAACCACTTCATAAACTTTTCTTTTATTAGGCAGAAAAAAGGATAGTCCACATCTATTCAGATAGCATCATTAAGCTTTATAACAACATCTCAGTGTGAAGAAGTGTTCAGTTGTTTTTTTAACAAAGACTTAAGTAGTTACTATGAATTGAGCTTCTTTTGGGGGCAGAGTACCTATGGGAGCAGAGGCCATCCAGTAGTCACGCTAGAATGTGATAGGTCACNTTGTCTGGATTCTCTTTCTAACAAGAAATTTTCAAATCATTTCATAGATAATGTATATGTATTGTTGATTCTGCTATATAACAGTAAAAAATAACATTTAATTCTTTTTAATAACACTTAAAATATTTTAAATCTATATTTACTGACCTGAACTTACAAACTTAGAATAAGTACTTTACATCAAATGGTTACTTTTTGAATAGTATGCCATTTACAATGGAAGATAAATTGGTTAGTTATATAATTGTGCAATATGTCATCCAAAACCCATTTTCCCAATTCAATTTGATTATATAAACTAATATCTGCATTGTATGACATCTAAAATTACACATACTCCAAAAGCTATCCAAACATTTTCCTCATTTTATAAATATCTCTTAAACTATTAATTGATTGAATTGTACTCTTTACTGGAGTTACTTTTAAATGCCACCTGTAAAATATGAAAGATACACTTTAAATTACTGGGATTGAAACAACTGACCAGGTATTTGAAAACAAGAATGGTGTTAATTAAATAAATAGCCTACTCCTATATGATTGCAACTGAGAATTATCCATTAACAGTAATTTATCCACAGTTGTGACAATTTTTCCACATCAAGTGCATGTGTTCCAAACTTTAAAATTACTAAGTCATGATGAAGCTTGAGAAGGGCTTGTTCTAGCTCTCTGAAGGCATTTAAAACCTGAAATTTTCCAACACTTAATAGCAAGAGAACATTCTAAATCTTTATTGTTTTATGAATCACAGAAATATTAAAACAGTAAACAATGGATTTCAACAGTACAATTGTACATATTATAGTTAAATTCAGTTTCTAGTCATATCAGTTTCGATCATAGAGTAACTTTGAAGGAATGAAGTATTCTAAATATTCTATTAAAATATATTGAATACTTTATGCCATCTGTAATATAGTGACTTCAGATACTTCATTTTCAAGCAAACACAGAATATCCTATCTAAAATGGTATATGATTTTCTTGACAGTCTTAAGATGGAAATTTGGCAAGGATATCATTGTAACATAGGCAACGTTATCAATATTCTGGAGGGAAATTCTCTACTTATATCTGTGAATAGTTCCTGATCAAGCACTATTTCTTTTCATATTCTTCCTTATATTTTTCTCCAAGCCTACCTTAATGAGGCCCTAAGATATATCCTGCATTCAAATATGAGCTGAATCACCATTAAAGAAGTATTACATGAACCATTTGAACTAGATTTTTGTGTTTTACTCAGGATGACAAAGAAATAAATGTGCATCAAATATCAATAGACAACCCTAGACATAAAGATTATTCTCATTTACAACTCTCAGACTTATTTCATGGCCTCACAGAACTGTTATTCATGTGCTAAATTATCTCTGTACTGCTGTGTCTAACTTTGTTCCATTAGGTCCTACTCAGAAAAGGATATCAGAATATAAATGGAGAGGTAATTACGTATGACACATGTACACACACAGAGTGTGTGTATATATATATATATATTACATATGCATTTCATACAGATCTATCATATACATATACACAAATATACTCATTGTACATTACATGTATGTATATGCATATGTTTTCCTAACAAAAGGTGATACAATATAAATTTAAGCAGACTATCCAAGCTTAGTTCACATAAAATAGATGATATGTATTACACACTTCCTATATCCTGATAGGACCAACAAAATTATCTCTTAAATACCCCCTCATACACCTATCGAATGCCTCACTCATTTTCACATGCCACTGAATCATACCATACTAAGATTTAATTTAAAATTCTTAAAATGAAGAACAAGGTAGAAAATAACTACTTTCCCATCATCTAATTCCCCCATCATTTCTAGGATGTGCCTCTAGATCAAGAGGATAGATATTCATCTTAGTTCAGATTTCCCCAGAAAGACACTT